TTCGTGGCCAGGGTGTGATAAGGTCCTTTGAAAAGCTCCAAGGAAGGAGACTTCACCACCCTCCAAAGCAGCATATTCCACCACTGAACAATTCTTACCATCAGGAAGTTCTTCCTAACCTTTAGGTGGAGTCTCATAGGCCAAGTCTGAAAGCCTAGGCTACAACTTCTTTTGCACTGTTAGTCTCAAAGGTACTAAAAGGCCCCTTTGCATACTAAACATTTTTAGAGTGTGGCCAAAAGGACAAATCAGTCTGGTGTGATCTTGAATCTTCTTTGGAGATTTTTAAACAGAGGCTAGATCAGGGGTAGGCAACCTAAGGCCCGGGGGCCAGATGCGGCCCCCCCAAGGCCTTTGAACCAGCCCCAGGCCGGTCCTGCCACTGCCCGCCATGATGATATTGATTATTGTTATTATTACTTGTTCTTCGGTTTTTCTTGGCAAAATCTCCACAGGGGTTTTGCCATGGCTTTTCAGGGGCTGAGAGAGTGTGCATGCATATTTTTTTAATTTAAAAAAATATTTATTTATTTATTTATTTATTTATTTTTGGTGCTTCGGCCCCCCCAATTGTCTGAGGGACAGCAACCCGGCCCCCAGCTCAAAAAGGTTGCCTACCCCTGGGCTAGATAACCATCTGTCAGGGATGTTTTGATTGTGTCTTCCTCCATGGCAGCGGGTTGGACTGGATGGCCTTTGTGGTCTCTCCCAACTCTATGATTCTATGAACCCCTCTCTGTGTATGAAGATGAATGATCAATGAAAGTAACGATGGCCCAAATTGGATCCTACCATAATAATATCATGAAGAAAGATACTGTAATCCCAAGCCAATATGAAAATCCCAGACCCCACCCGATCAATCCGTCCTGTCAAGAAGTTACTTTGCTTTTCTGCTACAGTGGTGGGAGGTTAGGGGAAAGTGCCTCTCACCTCACCTCCCTCCCCAGTTTACCCACAGTTAACCCTATAAAATTCATGGGGTCACCACAGGCAACTTGAAGGCACATACATACACATACTGCTATAACCCAGAGACAGGCACCAGAAGGCAGTGACTTCTATGAATACATCAACACTGTAGAAATAATGCAGTTTGACACCACTCTTGCTGCTATGATTCCATCCTACAGAATCCTGGAATTTCTAGTTTGGTGACGCACCAGCACTCTTTGGCAGAGAAGGCTAAAGACCTTGTTAAAAACTACAAATCCCAGGATTCCTTAGGATGGAACTACAGCACTTAAAGTGATGTCAAACTGCATTATTTCTACAGTGTAGATGCACTATATTTCTGTGGTGTGGTAAGTCCCACTCTGGATTTTCATCCACACTCTAAAGGAGTAACTTTCCAAAATAATCAGCCCATGTGAAAGGGTTAAACTTCAGCTGCTCGGATGGCTCCTTTAAGAGTTTGGAGTAAAACACAGAGCAGATGCCTTGCATTAAGGATGCCCCATATGGAAGGCACCAATAAACAGGGGATGGGTATGTGAGAGCAGCTGGAAAGGACTGGAAAGCAGGTAGGAATTTCCATCTTCCTCTGTTAAAATCTATGCTCAGTGGAAACCTCCCTCCTGTTCAAGGAGAAAAATTGCTCAAGACCTGAGATTTATGGCCCCATTGAGGAATAATGTAACTGGGTGACATCAGTAATCCTTACTTAACCCTCACCTCCTGGCTTTGTGTATGAAGGCCAACTTTGAACCTTATAGGATCGTCTCTAGGAGGGATGTCGGTATCTAGAAATGGATTATTTGATATCTAATGGGAATGAATGAGCAGTGGTTTTATAAAGCACTTTGGAGGCTGGGAGATGGTATGATAAAATAAAAGAGAGAGGCCTCTGAAATAACCTTGCATAAGCTATCCCTCCTTGTGATTCATATTTATGATATGGGCTATCTATGGCAGCCCTAAGGTGAACCTAACATAGGGTTTTCTGTGGCTGAGAGTGTGCGATTAACCCAAGGTGGGTTTCCATGGCTGAGCAGAGAATCGAACGCTGGTCTTCAGAGTCATAATCCCACACTCAAACCACTATACTACACAAGCACGGATGAAATCCTTCCTCCACCAACGAGCCTCTTTTCCACTATTCTGGTTTTCCAGACTCGGATTTTCATAGTTGGCTTTGTTTCAAGATGGAAGAGAGGAGGAGATGAAAGCTGGCTAAACCAGATGCTTCCCCAAAAGAACCACCTTTTGTGGGGTCATTTACTTCT